AAAGCTCGAACTCATGCTAGGCACATGAACTACAAACTAACATGGATCCTAAGTTACCCATACCATATAGCCCATAACAATCCTGAGCCCAACACATTACATATTTTATTATGCTAAAGCCTGCTAAAGGTTCTTATCATCACACCCATCCCCGAGAAAAACCTTGTCCACAAGGTTTATAACTGGAACTGAGGAAATCGAGCCTGGAAATCTTCATAATCCTCCCAAGTGCCAGCTTGCTCATCCTGGCCTATCCACTGCACCAAGAGTTGGACACCAGCAGTGTTGGCCTTCTTATACATCATCCTACTTAAGATCTTCGCAAGTTCATCATGTTGCACCATCATGTTGCACCTCAATGTTTGGAAATTCTAGAAGCACTGCAGAAGATTGCACTAATGGGCCCTAAGTGTTTCTTGACAGTGCTAACATGGAAAACTGGGTGTATCTTGGAGTTAGCAGGCAGCTTAAGTCTGTAGGTTACCGGACCCACCCTCTCAATGACTTCAAGTGGGCCAACATACTTAGGAAGTAACTTGTGGGCTGAGTGTGAAGCTAGGGATTGATAGTGATAAGGAACCAGTTTGAGGTAAACAAAATCCTTTATTGCAAACTCCCTTTCTATTATGTGCTTGTTAACTTGGGTTCTCATCCTATTCGGAGTTAACTTCAAGTTGGACCCGAGTATGGACAAGACCCTATCTCTTTCCAGTAGGCCTTGTTCCACTGATTCAAGCCTTGCAGTACCTCTCTCATAAGGTGTCACATGAAGAGGGGCATGTCCATAAACGAATTCAAATGGAGTAAATTTAGATGAAGACTGGTATGAGGTGTTGTAGCACCACTCTGCCCAAGGTAGCCAAATGGTCCACTTCTTAGGCTAAGTACTAACAAAGCAACTAAGATAGGTCTCCAAGCATCTGTTGACCACCTCAGTCTGTCCATCGCTTTAGGGATAATACCCCGTGCTCATGCAAAGCTTTGATCCTTGTAACTTGAAGAATTCCTTCCAAAAGGTGTTTAAGAAGATAGGATCTCTGTCAATGACAATAGTAGAAGGAAGCCCATGTAACTTAAACACATTCTCAAGGAAAGAAAGTGCCACAATTATGGCAGTGTAAGGGTGAGCTTACTTAACCTGTCAACTACCACCATTATAATAGATTTCCCTTTGTTAAGAGCTAATCCCACAATAAAATCCATGCTGATGTCTGTCCAAATTCTCTCTGGGATAGGTAGAGGTTGCAAGAGGCTAGGAGGAGCAATGGTTTTATAATTGTTTCGTTGGCAGGTAGGGCATTCAGAGATAAAAAGCGTAATATCTCTCTTCATTTCAGGCCACCAAAACCCTCTCTTAAGCCTTTATAAGTCTTAAGAATCCCTTGGTGTCTAGCTGCTAGGGTAAAGTGGTGTTCAGCAAGCAGTTTCGATTTCTAGTGAGAGTAGCGATTAATCACAATCTTGGACTTGTACTTCAGTAAACCATTATCAATGTGATAATGAGAAGCCTAAGAGATGGAAGATGCAGAAGAAGTGGGAGTAATGACTTCCTATTTCTTTGTAGGATCCACTCATCAGTTTCATTAAACCTACGAATCTCATCCAACCAACCAAAATATGGATAGGTGATTGAATAACATAGAGCAGAACAGTGATTCTCAGGTTCCAAGGATGCCTCTGAGGGAAATGGCAATGTAACCTGGAAAGTGCATTAGTTACCAGCTTCTATGCACCCTTCTTATAATGAATTTCATAGTCAAACCCCATATATTTTGTTACCCATTTCTATTGGAACTGATTATTAGTTCTCTGAGATAGGAAATACTTCAAGCTATGATGTTTAGTTCGAATTATAAAGTGCCTCCCCTGGAGATAATTGTGCCACTTCTTCACAACTGAAACAATTGCTATAAGTTCCTTCTCATAAATGGATAATGATTGATTTCTTGTGCCCAAGACTTTGCTATAAAAAGCAATAGGCCTACCCTTCTGCATTAGTACTGCACCTATACCTGAATCGGAAGCATCACATTCTAACTCAAAGGGAATAGAAAATTTTGGTAAAGCCAAGACTTGGGGAGAAAACATGATAGTCTTGAGTTGCTAGAAGGCTTCATTAGCTGGTAAATCCATCTTTCCTTGTTAACAAGTATAATGGTTTACAAATTGTCCCTTAGCCAGGGACAAATTTGTGATAGTACCCTGTGAGGCCTAAGAAGCCTCTTAATTCTTTGACAGAAGTAGGAGTGGGCCAATCCTTTATATCTTGAATCTTCCTAGGATCAGCCTCCACACCCTCCCCCTGAGACAATGTGACCAAGATATTCAATCTTGTTCTGACCGAAGGCATATTTTGACTTCTTGACATAAAGTTGATGTTGCAGTAATAAAGCAAAAGTGATTTGAAGATGATGTAAATGATCCTCCTATGTTTCACTATAGACCAAAATATCATCAAAGAAGACAAGTATGAAATCCCTGAGATATGGCCTACAAACATCATTCATTGGATTCTGGAAAGAGGCAGGTGCGTTGGTTAAGCCGAAGGGCATTACCAAGAATTCATAATGGCCTTTATGAGTTCAAAATGCGTTTTTTTTCGCACATCCTTGGGGTGCATTCGAATCTGATGATAGCCAAAATGTAAATCTAGCTTAGAGAAGTACACAACCCCAAACAATTCATCCTACAAATCATCAATGAGAGGGATAAGGCACTTGTCCTTAATAGTTAATGAATTAAGCTCCCTGTAGTCTATACATAGCCTCCATGTACCCTCTTTCTTTTTTACTAATAGCACCGGGAAGGAGAAAGGGTTGTGGCTAGGCCTGATGAACCCAGAATCCAATAATTCCTTAACAGACTTTTCGATCTCATTTTTCTGGAGTGGCTATAGTGGTAGGGTCTAATATTGGGGGGCTTAGCACCAGGAATGAGAGGGATTTGGTGATCATGGACCCTATCGGGAGGTAAAGTGGAAGAGAGAGTGAATACCAACTCAAAATGTTGCAACAAAGTTTGTAATTCTTGTAACTGTGCAGAGTTAAGATTGGATTTCGATGGAATAGAGGAAGAGACCCAAGTTAGAGTTAGAAAGCTCCTTGTCTATGTGTTGTAAAGCAACCTCTTGAATGGACGGGAAGTGTGGAGAATGATGGACCAGCTTATAGTGACCATTGGCCTGATCAAACTCCAATGTGAGTTGTTGAAAATCCCACATAACCGAGCTTATAGAGGAGAGCCACTGAACCCTCAACACAATGTCACAGCCTCCCAATGGAAGTGTGAATAAATCAACAAGGCAATGATAGTCACCTATAGACAACGGAATGCCCTTAAAACAACCTGAGCTATTGACTTTGCCCCTATAACCTATCATAACCTCAAACTGTTTAGTGGGTGAACAAGACCAACCATATCTCTTAAGCAACTTGGAATCAACAAAATTGTGTGTGCTGCCCAAGTCTAACAAAATAGTGACTTGTTGACCCTGTATAATGCCTTGGATCTTCATGGTTTGAGGAGTATTAGAGGCCATGGTGCCATAAAAGGCATAGGCATTGAGGTGCATAGACTGGCACTCAGGAAAGATTTCATCAGAAAGGGCCTCAGTATCCTCCTCAGGACAAGCTAAGTCCAACATTAGCAACTATTTTTTAGCACACTTATGACCTCTAACCTAGTTTTCATCACAAAACCAACAATCCCCTAATTCTCTTTTTCTTTGAATCTCAGTTGGAGTGAGTTTCTTGACCGGCAAGTTACCTGATCTGTTAGCAGGGTAGGTGTTTGGATGCTGGGAATTTGAGCTCATTATGTTTAGCTTCTATTTGTAAGGCTAGGGAAATAGCCCCATGGACCGTGGTAGGGCCCAAAAGCTTAACATCAAACCTTAACTCCTTTTTAAGCCCCCTTAAGAAACTACTCTTTAACAGTATAAGACCAACATCATAGGTATGCATAGCCAATCTATGAAATTCTACAATATAATCCTTAAGGGTACCTGTTTGGTAGAGCTTGAATAAGGATTCAGTGCAATCCTCAAAGTCTGAGGGTCTAAACCCGCGAAAAAAAAAAGCCTTAGTGAATCCATCCTAGCGCGGTGTCGATTGGAGACAATCTAGCCACCGGAACAAGTGTAGTGCCTCACTATCAAGGTGGAAAGAGATCGTAACGACCTTGAGATGATTAGCTGTGTGGTAATAAGCAAAATATTGCCCAGCCTTGTAAATCTAAGTTACAGGATCATCACTTGGTAAGAAACGAGGAAAATCAACTTGTAGCTAGAAAGGCTGACGAGGATTCACTCCCCCACTATCGAAAAGCTCGTGCGGAAGACGCGGAGGATCGGCTGAATCGGCCAAGATCGAGGGTGGATGAGGAACCAGTGCCCAATCCGCAAGATAACTCGCGACGAAATTGTTCAAAATAGAGGGGAAGCTTGGCGTCAAAGGCCTCGGAGACGGAAGAGTTGATGGAAGCATTCATGGAAGAGCTGAGGTTAGCACAGTGCGGCCACTCTGGCATCCATTTCAGTAAATCTAGTGGTGGTGGTGTGGCAGGGCATGCAAAGGAGGGAAACCAGGAACGAGACAGATGATCCCAATGATACGATCAAAACCCTCTACCTAATTCAACCTCAGCTTGGCAACAATGGAGGTATGAATCTGGGAAGGAGACGAGAGAATATCCAAATGATAAAAGCTGAATTTCATAATATATTATAAAAATGAAGTAACCTTTACAATATATGGAAAAGCTCGAGCTCATGGTAGGCACGTGAGCTACAAACTAACATGGATCCTAAATTGCCCATACATACAACCCATAACAATCCTAAGCCCAACACATTACATATTTTATTATACTAAAGCCTGCTGAAGGTTCTTATCAAAGAGAAACATGATCACACCGTATTTGGCACGAGTTAAACATCGTTGTGTGAACCTCAAGAGCTCGAGTGATCACGATCACTGTTTAGCTATAAAGAAAAGGTATCATACCCCAACAGTCTTTCAAATGATATACAAAAACAGGCACAAATTAACATACTCCACATCCTTCAAATCATAATGACCAATAGACGAGACAGCTTTACTAAATATATTATACACCCAAAAACTGTTCTTTCCAAATAAATAGAACATGCCCGAAGCTTCTTCCCTTTTGAAGCCAGGCCTTCTTAATTCTCTAAATTACAAGACTCTTGAGTTTAATGAAAATCCTACAACTAGTAGGCACAAAGACCTGAATGACATTACGTGCGTGATGGGCCGCCCATCAACACGCGACACCAGAGAGACTATGCCCCCAAAATGCTTGGGCAAGACTGACTATAAACGAATCATATGTTGATTCTAACATGATTTTTTTAGACTTGTTTTATTCCTGTATGGCTACTAGAAACCTGATTCTAGCACCCACCCATCCATGACAACCTGCCACTTTTCCTGAGTAACACAGGTTTCGATGCACCAAGGATAAATGTCGCACTGGGAGTGAAGAGCAGCCAGCGTCCTCCATCCTTCTCTGCCATCTGGGGCGACTCAGACATCTGACTTCTCTGGTGACCATGACTGTATGACCTGCATAAAAATGAAGGTATAAGACGGGGCATAAATCCAGAAAAAAGTAAGCCTTTGGGATGCCAAGCCTTACAATCATAAAACATAAATTAGACTGAAAGCACATCCAGACCAACAAAATATGAAATCAACAAAAACAAGTCCAATTATATATTCTTTTGGGCTCGTTTGGTCTCTAGGATTGGGTTGGAATGGAACCATCTAAATTCAAGGTAAAGTGAAGGTAGAGGAGAATGATTTTTCACTTTGGGGGGATTAGAATGAGATTAGACGGGTAGAAAACTTCTCCCTTCTAATCCTTACCATTTTGAGGAGGTTTGGAGTGGATAAGTTTTCTTATGTGAGTAATTCATCTTCTACCTTCAAGTTGGTCACAATTTTTTCATTTCTTCCTTCAACATACTTGAAAATAGTCGTTTATCCATTCCAGTCCCATCTTCTATACCGAACAACGCCTTAAGGTATTGGTAATGCAATCCGATATGCAAACAAAAAGTGCCAAGAAGAACCACCCTCCTTTTCATGATTATTGAGTAAACACTACAACATAAAATTTATTTGGTGAAGAATAGGAGGGCTACTAATGCCTATGGAAAATCACAAAATTTGAATATTGGAATGAACTGCTACAAGTTAATAAAAACAACAATCTAGTAAATCATCCTATTAAATTGATTTGCACATGGACGTCCAACAAAGACAAACAGAACAAATGGAACATTGTTTCTGAGAAATGTATTCTCACACTTTGCTGCCACAGCCTAAGATGGAACCATTGTGGACCTTTAAATGATATTTGATACACGCATCTACATGATCATCAGTTGGCTATCAAATGCATACTGAGAATAATATTATTCATCTAGCAAATCTTTTTTTCCAGAAGAAAGGTTTGTATAAATCAGAACTTGCAGTCCTATAGCTAAATCTTGCATATGTAAAGAAAATGACCAAATAACTTTACCGCTAGAATGCAAAATAAAATTTGCAAGGCTCGACCTGAAGCCTGCCACTTAATTAGCAGTTTTGCTTCTTTTAGTCCTGCTGCAATCTAAGGATACCTGCAAAGAGTAAATAAAGAATCTCAAAATCCCATGCAAACCTAGTGGCGGATGTATCCCTTTTTTTCTTTTCTATTTTCTCAAAGAAAAGGTATAGGATTGCAAAACACACCACATTATATTCTATGATGTGGCACTAACCTCAGTCAACCCCTCACCCAGCTCTTTGCTCAGAACCACTACCCTGCATATATTGGGGAGAAGGAGCAGATAATATAATATGTGGTCGTGCCGCAACACTCGCTGCCATGCCTGATTAAAAAACAGTCTTTTGTCAATTAGATCTTATCTACATACTCCGTGGTACATTGATCTAGATGAAAGATCTATCAAACTGTCATTACATCTCCATCATAAGACTATGAAGAATGCTTGTCATATTAGGTAAGTGTCTATTCTTTGTTAAAAAAATTTATTTTCTAGTTTATAAAATTGAAAGTGGAAATCAAAGACTTCGAGTAAATCTGTTTTAAAATATTTCATTATTAATTAAACAAATGACACTGATACTGTTCACCGTATCGACAGGCTGCGCCTTCTACGGAAAAAATGTGCAAGAAAAAAGACTAAAATTTATCATGATCCCACATCCTCTTAGGTAGTATGATCAAGACACAGTGGTCAGGCATTAGGTTGAGTTGATTTCACATAAATTATGAGTTAGAAGAAGTGCATGTTTGGTGGTACAGCTTCACTAATTTATATTGAAAGATGAACAATAATAATTTGTCCCCTAGGAAGGGGGACACCCGAGACGTGAAGGAAAAAAAGACGAACAATAGTTTCAGGACAGAGATGTACCTGTATGATATGCTGCTTGAACTGGAGGGACTGTGGAAGTTGTTGCTGCATTAACACTGGGTGCACCAAACTGGATTATCTGCTGGGCAGGCATTGCATATCCATGAACTGTTGGATAACCCTGACCACCATGAATGGTTTGACCCAGTTGTCCATAAGGATAAGGAGAAGTAGTAGCCGTCCCTGGAAGTCCATATATTTGAAGATATTGCTGACCCGCATAGGCGCCGTAAACACCCTACCAAAGAAATGGCGAACAAAGTTAGGAAGCAAGTCAGAATAAAGCAACATAATATCCTCACACTCATAAATCCAAAAGAAAGACATCCACCTGCGCTGCCATTTAAGAACATTACTGACCTGTGAATAAGCGTACTCAGGTCCATATGTTGCATACCTGAACAGATAAGACAACCATTACAACTATTGATATCATAATTTCTGCGAGCAATTTGGAAGAGTTAATGTACATGAGATACAATTACAAACAATGCAATGCATTGAACCAAAACTAATCCCTTACAATGCAAGAACAAAGGTTTGGAATTTAAACTACAAGCTACAGTGCTCTTATACTTGAATGAGAAATCTCATGTATGAGATCAATCAGTAAAATGGCGAGACTAGAAAACCCAATTTAAGTCTTGCCTGCTCCATAAACATTGACTTGAGGCACATATCCTCTGCAACTATCTCTTTTTCATCTCCTGAATTACCAATCATGCCATGCCATGTCATGTCATCATAGTCTAGACAAAATGACCCCTGAATACCAAGGGAGATGACTAAGAAAGTTGATTTTGAAAATCAACGTGGCATTGCATATTCCAAATGGCATACGCTACACAAAAAACAATGGAAGAGAACTAAGTTGTTAACTGAGATGTCACCAATCATTCCAGGGCTAACCAAATCAATATCAAATGTTGACAACTTATATACAACAAGTGGACGTTCAATAAATATTACACTACTACATTAACTCTGTGGCTATCACCTAAACCTAAAAATGCATGACTCACCCATAGGGAGGATAAACTAATCCTTGTTGATAGTTGTAAGAAAGAGGCTGCTGGTAGCCATATCCTCCAGTGTAAGCCCCACGGGTAGCTTGCATGCCTCCAATGTATGGAGCAGCTGGTCTTGGACGTCCTGTAAGTAAAAAAATGTCACGTGGAACGTGTTTGTTTGCTATGGGGAAAACAATATATGTAGATTTTGGTACTTTGAAAGGTTAGCTTGAAAACATGATGGAAACCTATGAAGATCTTAGTTCTATTTTTCTTCAAATCCATAAATAATTGCTGCGTTTAAAACAAAGTCAGTAAAACGATGGCAACTAGGAAAAGAAATTGATAGCACAAACACAAACATCACCCATAAACAATGAACTAGATGCAATTGAGCATGAAATGGGAAACTACAAAGCGGGACTTAATTGATAGTTATCAAACTAAGAGCATAAGAAACCATACCATAAGGCATAGGCGGCCTGGGCCGCCGGAGTGAAGCCAAATTACAATTGGCGCGCCTGCCATCGATGATCGGAGTTGGATCAGCACAGGCCCGAGCAGCAGCCTCTGGTTCGCGGAAAGTCACCTAAACCCTCCATGTAAATACAAACAGAAACCAAGTCATTCCAAAAGTTGTGAGTGAGGCAGAACAACCCCACAGCCATTGGTCTTTCATTTGCAAAACACACACTGAATACCAGTAAACTCATGGAAGAGCAAACAAAAACCCATAAAGTGAAAAGAAGAAATACTCACAAAGCCATAGCCTTTGGATCGGCCGGTGTTCTTGTCAGTAATAACGACGGCCTCGAGAATCTGGCCGAACTGGTCGAAATAGCGGCCCATGGCATCGCTGTGCGTCTCCCAGGCGAGGCCCCCAACAAAGACCTTGGTGTAGGTGGTGTCACCAAAAGGGGAGTTGGAATTGGGGAATTGGAATCCAGAGGGACTGGAACTCGACCCAGAACTCTGATAGGCCATCAATGAATCACAATTAATTCAATTGAATGTAGAAATAGTAGTAGTAATAAGTAGAAAGATAGTGAAAAGAAAGAAAAACCCTAGCTTGAGATGTGGTGGAGATGCATATACCATTGAATTTTGAAGTGAGGTAGGGGGAATCAGGGGATGCTCAATTTTGTAGGAAAGAATGAATAAAGGTGATTAAAACCTCAACACAAGACCCCAATAAAGCTTAACTCAGCTTAATAAGAATGATTTTTGCAGGAAAAAAAAAATAAAAAGGAAAGAAAATGGAAAAGTTAAAAAGAAAGAGAGGGCCCAGCAGCAGCAGATGGGCCAAGAGGAGGACGAGGAGGAGGATCTAGGTCGGTGGTAGTGGTGGGAATAGGCTTGCTGGCTTGGGACGAGAGACGGAGAGGGGAGGGTCAGTGAATGGTGAATGGTGAATGGTGAATGGTGAATGGTGAAAAAACAAAAGCGTGAGACCTTCCTCTTTCTGTTGTTTTTGGCCTGGAGAGTTCTCAAACAAAGGTTACAGCTTCGGGAACGTGTGAATGTGGGACCCACCTTCTAACCCCTTCTCTCTCCTCAGAAAAAGATTCCTCTACGAATTCTCTTTATGTTGTTCTGAATCAATTAATCATGTCTGTTCATCGTATATCATACGGTTAAAAATTATTTAAGAATTAAAATTTAAATAAAATTTAAAAAATTTAAAATTTAAAATTGAATACAAATAGTACCTAATGAAAATTGATCACACGATGTACGATGAACAAACATGATTCATTCATCCCTCGGATCACCACAAAGAGAATCCGAAGAGGATCTTTTTCCCTCTCCCTAAGCCATGAGGACATCAATTTTTTTGGAATGTGATATCCACACACTGCTTTTAACTTCTCATACATGTTTCTAATTTTTGGCTGTCGGATCGAATGAATTGAAGAAGGTTTAAAAACAAAAATTAATAAGAGGTGTGTGAAAAGTAAAAAAGGGTGTGTGGATAGCAAACCCTTTTTTTATTTTAACAAACGGTATTATCTACACTAACGGAAGGGGGTGGGCTTAACCTCACAATAAACTAACAATAATGTGGTTCAAATTCGCTTTTGGTGAGAATTAAAGCTAAGACCTCTCATTTACAGGTAAAGAGGAATACTACTAGACCGCAATACTAAGTGGCGAAGGATACCACTTTTGAGTACTCATTTAAGGATTTAAATGAAATCTTTGTATCCTTAAAAGAATATTACCTCCAAAGGAGAGTACTTGTAGTAGAATCTCTAAATTTGAAGTTTTATGATTTTATGTGATAACTTGATTAGATGCACATTTTTAGTTTATGTTACCTTTTTTTAATTAACTAAAAGTATTAAAATCTTCAATCAAGACAGTGATCCTGTTTTCCACTCAAGATGCACATTTTTTCTTTGTGTTAACTTTTTTTTTTTAATTAATCAAAGCGTCAAAATTAAAAACATTCAAAGCATTAAGAGATTCAATCAAGATTGTGGGGCCTATTTTCTACTCAAGGTTGTCCCCATACAATCCCTATATGTGAAGGACACAATATGTATCTGGCAAATCTCTATACCTTATGGACTCATTTCCGACCTTGTATTTGTTTATGCCCATTTTATACGGTGGTTGTGCCTATTTAAGGACTCCACTAGAGATGCTCTCACTACTCACTGATGAGGGAAATGGATCCTCTCCAGATCCCTTCCACCTGAGCCAATTGAGCACAAAATCAGAGTCCTTGAAATTTGATCCAAACTGACACACCCCGATCGAGATCAGGGCATGCTGGTCGTCACGTGGAAGTGACGTAACCATGTGCACAGTGCGGAAGCTAATAAAATAATAATAGAAATAGTACGAATAAATAAAAACTAGCTTTACACAAAGTAATAACAAACAAGTGCAAGCGTAAGTGCGACACTAAGTTCAGAGCATGAAAGCCTAATGCAGTCCAGGAGAAAACGACGCAACAAAAGCACACTCGAAGGTGGTCCTACACTGGTGATCGTCTATCAGATATGCCGGGGAAATCCTCAAGGAAACCACCAAACGTGCTAGCCAACTAAAACCTGGAGGGGCGCAAAACAAAAGCGTGAGTGGGCAAAAACAAAGCTTTTCGAAAACCATTTAATAAATAAGTTCTAACCCCTCGCCGTAAAACCTGTATACTTCCCAGAAAATAGAGTATATATATATATATAAGTCATGCTCAAGAATATGCTATGCCAAAACTTCAAGGTAAAATGCAAGTGCTCAGGTACTATCGCATCAATATCACATAATCTGTCAGCCGGAGTCACCTAACGTGACCTGTACGGCTGAATCTAGAGCTCAAATCTCCATCTCACTAACTAGACCTGCACACGAGTCGGAACCACCTAAAGTGGTATGTACGACAAGCCTGGGTGTATCATATATATACGCTCAAGTGCTACGATCATGTGAAGGCTGTGCGAATAATCGCGAGTCACCTACGAGTCGGAACCACCTAAAGTGGTCTGTACGACAGGACTGTGCACCTAACTTGGATCCAAGCTGAGCGTGTGGTGCGGGAGGTGAACATAACGTGAAAGACTGTGCCCAACTTTGGGCGAGAGCACTAACACCGGGGGTGCAGGTTATGAGCTCTCTATGCATCTCAAATCACTACTGAAAATAAACATAAATCACAACTCACCTGGCACTTACCTGTGCGTCCGCAGCACTAAACATGCATATATATAAACAATTAACAATGCAAAAACAACGGCAAAACTATAGGCATGGCATATAACGAATAAACATTCTAAATCAATTTATGGGAAAAGTATAAGTATATAGGTATATACGGAAAACCAAAAGCCCACTCATTGATAAGTGGAAGGGTCGTAACCCCCCTGCCTCGAGTGACCACGCTCGTCCTCGGGATAGGATTCACCTATATGCGAAACAACTATAAAAACGTTAATTTTAAAGCACATAACCAATCTTAAGAAATAACTTCTCATACAATGCTCAAATGGGGTGTATGAATACACCAACGTGATCTACTCAACCTCAAGAACATCCCCATATTTTTAGAAAAAAATTTCACCTCCGCACGCACCCCCATGCGCCGGCCAAGGCACGGCCACAAGCGCCGGCCACGCGCAAGCACGTGCCTTGCACGCTAACGGCGGCAGTTAACGCTGTCAGGAATATTCCGTTAACTTTAACGGATTCCGTTAACGGCGTTAGGAATATTCTGTCCAAACTGACGGAATATTCCGTCGTCTTCTCCGGCGAGGCTCCGGCGCCGTCGCCAGCGCCGGAAAATCAGGAAAAATTCAATTCGTGATATCTTCCTCATTTTTCAACCAAATTTCACAAAATTGGTACCAAATTGAAGCTTACAACGAGAGGAACAAAATCATACAACTTTCAAGTGCTAAAATTCACGAAATCTCGCCAGGAAAATACCCCCAACTCCGGCCAACCTCGAAACTCGTGATCCCGACGTCCAAAACCTTCAAACGAACCACCCCGAGCCTCCTAAGGACCTCACCAAGCTTCCTACAAGCTTGAAATTCCAAAAAACATAAGAATTTACATGTGGATGAACAGTACCAAAAATCGGGTATCCCGAGTTCGACGTGAAAACGAAGGTATCCTTACCTGAAATGGGTATGGTTGGACTCCAAAAGACCTCATGAGCATGGATATGTACTTTGTTTCTTCGATCAGTGAAGATTACATGGGTTTTGGGGGCGTGTCCGTACAAGGGATATGAAAATGGGAAGGGTAATGGGCACAAGATGGGTGCAGGGATAGGGGGAAAGGGTGAGGGAAATTATGGGAGTGTGTGTGTGTGGTCCACAACCAGCCACACCAATTTAAACAACCACACAACGAAAAAAAATAACACTAGGGGCAAAATCGCCTTTTCACGTGTACGTTTTAAAATTTTCGGAACGGGCTGTCACAGAACAGCTAAAATTATTATAACTTTTAATGAGGCCCTCTATTTTTAGCTGTTGGATTAAATTTCAAGGGTTTGGATTTTGGGCTTAGTTGGCTCAGGAGGAAGGGATCCAGAGAGGATTTGTAACAACACGTCCCGGAATTGACGGAACGGAATGGCATTTTTGTATTTCCACTTTGGGTTGTAAGATATTTTGAAAGGGTTACTATTTAAGTCTTAAATGGTGTGCCAAGTGGGGCCCACTTTCCTCTTTTGTCTTCCTTCCCGTGCCTTTCCTTTACCCCTTACACAACTCACAGACTTCTCTCTCTTCCTTATCCCTTACCTCTATTCTCTACAACTTTCTCTCTATCTCTGTCTCTTTCTCTTCTTCACGCTTTTTGTACTCTCTCCTTTCTGAGAACAAACATACACACACACTCAACCCTTACCATCACAACAAGATCACTACATCATTTCCTCTTTCTCATTCCTATCAACTTTGGAACTGAGCTTATACGACGGAACAACGACTTCCCAACGAACCTCACACTCCCGACCTTGGTAAGGATCACACCATATCATTTCATCGTAGTTTTTCAATTCCTAGCTCAATCTTAAGCTTACACGCGAGTTTTGGTTGGATTATAAACATAAAATAACTCGGGAAAACACATCCTCAATTTTCTGATGGAAATCACAAGTTTTGCAGGGTATTTCCGCCCAACTCCAACGATAACTCGACTTCATTTTGGTATGGATTTATTCTCCATGTTTGTAGCTTCATTTTGGTTCAGAAATCATTGAAAATAGTTGAGATTTGACCCTAAACGGAGCTGGGGAGACTTTTCAGCCAAAACCCGGCCTTCCCTTCCGTTGGACACCGCGACCTACAAAGGAAACTGGGCGGCGCCCAACCCTGTTGCCAGGCCCAATCGACCGAGCCCAAGCCTAAACCCAAATTTAGACCAGCCTAATCCCAAGCCCAAATTCAATCTAAGCCCCCAAACCCAAGTAAGTAACCTAAAACCCTTCACCCATGGGACCTAAACCCACTACCCGGCCCTTTAGCCCTATCTTGGCCTAAACTATAGGCCTGTTGACTTTTTGGGTTGACTTTTTTCGGGTTTCGATCAGGCTCCTAGGCTAATTTCAACATCCTGAATCCGTTTATGACGACTGTTTCCCGAAATTCAATCGTTTGAGTAGAGTTTTATTAATTGGTACCTTTATGTGCTTAGGTGCAATTGTTTATGGCATTTCTATCTTCGCTTGTTCTCACAGCCCTTCGACAGCGAAGTATTTGTGAGTGGACCCCTTCCAAAATGCATATTTTGCTATTAGAAATGCATACATGAAAAGCATGATTTTATGACTAAGTTTTATGCAACATTTATGCGTGAATTGGTTACCATGCTTGATCGACTTTATGTTCCTTGTGGTATA